GGACATAAACTTTGATTCAAAGTAAAAGAGGAATAAGTTTGCCAGGTTAGTGGAGTAATTAGAGCCCATTGGGATTCCAATTGTTTGCCTGTAAATTTGATTTCCAATTTGGATATAATTATTCTCCGAAAATCGAAGAACAAGTATTTGTTTAGCAGAGGAATGTTCTGAGTGTACTAAGGCAAAGACGCGTTACGGGTGGGACAAATTCAATCTTCTCTGTTAGGTGTGTCCCATAAAAATGCTCCAAACAATACCAAAATATATTGAAAGAATTGCTCTGACATGACTTATTGATACTTCAAATTTCATCAAAATAGATTCATTACTGCCAGAGTTATGAAATTTTAAAGTCTGAAGACATGCAATTGCTCCAGTTTGGCCTGATTCACCCAGATATGTGGTAGCGAAGGGAAGCAGCGTCCCTGTTGCCTTCTTTGCGAGCTGGTGATATTCTTTGTCGAGTTCCAAGCAGAACGAAGAGAGCGACTGAGAGGAATACGAATGCTTTAAACTGCGGTCACATGATAAATACATCAGATGGTCTTTCTCTGCACTAGGCAAGACGGCCTTTGCTTCTGGATCGACTTCAAATGGGTTTCAGATCCAATCATAACCATCAACGCCACTCAGAAGTTCCAAAAAGCAACTGCTAAACTTATACAGCGCAGTCATAGCGTCATAGCGCTGCTATGACGCCTTCCACTTCTTTGAGAGTCACTTCGTTGTCATCCAAAAATTGATTCAGCAGAGGGAACATATCAACATCACAGATTCTTCTCTTCCATGGCTTGAGTTTCTTCTGAAATGCATAAACTTTGTCATTTAGAAGGAATATGTAAGAGTCACCTCCTTTGAGTTCCAGGTTCAGAATGTTCATAAAATGAAAAATATCCGCCAAGTAAGCCAACTTTGCAAGCCACATGTAATCTGCAAAGTGACATGCAAACTCAGAATTTATATCTGACAAGAACTCCAGGAGTTCGCTTCTCAGTTCCGTTCCGCATCCATGCCTTTGCGGCATGGTTGCATTTCTGGATTCATTTTTTTTTAGTGGCGAGTGCTTCTCTGTGAAGAATGCTGTCATCTTTCGTATGGATGATGGAACAGCTTTTTTTTTTTTTAGTTACAGGTGTATTTTGTGGTTTTTAATCCACTCGATTGCTTCAGGAGAGGCGGAGTGGACTTCGGTGATTCCGCCACTAAAGGGGAAGATGCAGCAGTCGTGGACGGTTCGCTGATCTCGCACTGTCTTTGAAGCGGCATTTGTGCATCAGGTGTTCGCATAGTTCGAGGAGAGTTCTGATGCGGTTGATGGTGGTCCACTGGCAGCGAGGAAGGTCGAAACACGGAGGTTCGGTGGTGGGATCCGGGACGAGGCTTTTGTTTTTTACGTCCGCCGAGGCCCATACTTGTTTCCACCTCTCTCCCTCATTGATGTTGGCTGCGTGACAGGCGGCTTCGGTTCATAACGGCCGTCGCGAGGTGAGACGGTTGAGAGGTACAGAGTCCAAGTCTCTCCGGATCGGAAGGTCTTGGTGATGAATGACCTTATTGTATTCCCGCAGTGTAGCTGTTAGACGTCGTATTTGCGGCGGAGGGATGTGTGCAAGCACCGGGAGCCAACACGTTGGCGTTGACTTCAACGCTCCAGTAACTGTACGCATGGTGATGTTGAGCTGCTTGTCGACGTGACTGCTGTAGACGCTGCGTCTCCATACTGGCTCAAATCAAAACTTACTCGGAAATGCACATTAATTTTTAGTTCTCAGAACTTCATTTGTATAAAAAAATGATATTATTTATAATGGTAGCTTGTTCCCAGCCTGGTTTCATCAGGTACATCATGACTCAACATCTTTTGACAGACCCTCAACATAACTGTCACGGTTCATAGAAACAATCTTGAAAGGGTCAGTCGGTGTTCTCGATGAAACGAGTACATGCTGGCGCGATGTTCATCTCTGGTCTTACGAAAGATTTAAAATAACATCTCGGTAATCATTCTGATTAATTCAATCTCCCATGGATTTGGAATGTGTCTCTCCGTTTTGCTAAAGCGAAAAAATTTCTTTTAAAACGCCCTCCTCCAAAGCTGGATTTTTCTTTTCTGAGCTCAATATCCCAATAGCCACTAATTTACAAAGTTTCAGGTTTCTACCATATGTAAAGCATGGTTAGAATCAGCGTCAGTCATTCACTCACTCACGATTGTCTATATACAGGATGGTCCAAAAAATCTTGGACCCCAAGGGTATGAAGGTATGAACGAAATTGACTGGATAAAATCAAATGTTATTACAGGAGAAACTATACCTAGAGCATTGCCTCATGACAAAAATTGTTAATTTATTGAATAATTTGAACAATAAATCTCTAGCAATTACAGCAAATTTTCAAAGCGGCCCCCATCTTGATCAATGCATATCACAACCCGTCATTTGAACAGATCGAGCGCATTGTTTATTTCGGCTTCATCCAGGAGTTGTCAAGCTTCATTAATACGCTCGATGAGGTGGTTTTCATCCCGAATGGCCTCAGTATACACATGTTGACACATTCTTTCCTTATATAATACTCCATGGAATTGAGATCAGGTGAATTTGGGGACCAAATGTCAGGTCGCACGAAGTCAGGGATACTTGGACAATTGCGTTCCTGAACGGTGGTTTATTATGTAAGGAAAGAATGTGTGAACACGTGTATACTGAGGCCTTTTGGGATAAGAACTACCTCATCGAGCGCGTTAATGAGGCTTGGCAAATCCGGAATCAAGCCGAAATAAACAGAGCGATCGATCTGTTCAAATGGCGAGTTGTGATGTGCATTGATCAAGATGGGGGGGACCACTTTGAAAATTTGCTCTAATTGCTGAAAATGTATTGTTCAAACTAAATTTTAAAATTCTTGAAGTGAAGCTATACTCTAAGTAGAGTTTTATCTGAAACAAAAATTGATTTCGTCAAGCGGTATTGTCAACTTCATTAATACCGTTGGGGTTCCAAGATTTTTTGGACCACCCTGTATATTAGATAAAAAATATGCCCATTGATTGTTCGGCCTTCGGCACACATAGCATCTGAGTTCAATCTATGATGAGAATGGACCGTTCGTCCATTCAGACCCGCCCATACCAATCATTCCGAAGAACTGGTGACTGGTGCCACTCTGCAAATTGAAAGGAATGAAATAAGTAAATGGAAATTATTGCGGGAAAATCAATAGCGTAAGTCACCATTGCGGCATTTTACGTCCCTAGACGTTTCATCGAGAAAGATGAGGACTGCGTCTCTGCTGGTTTCATTCTGCCTCATCGTCCAGCGACTTTCATTCGGGTTCCATGAACTCACCCATGGCTCTGCTGAATGCTTGAAAGAATTCGTCCTTCGTCATCATTTCCGTCGCGTGAACGTCCTGGCCTTCGATGAAGACGACTGCAGTGAGTTAAAAATATCAGACCGCCTCCCCTTATGCCTTGGCAGACCAGTATGCAATTGCTATCCAGTGAGAAGCTAGCCCAGTTTTTTAGAGAAGAGATTAGGGGTTTGACCCCCACCATCGCCAGAACATTTTTTTTCTCCGATGTCATGTGCCCTCTGTCATTTCTTTTGACCTGGTATCCAAGGCCAAAAAGTAAAAGAAAACATTATTGACGGCGAAAGTTTTCTTTAGAATGCCATTGTAGAAACTCCTTATCACAATTCCATCTGCAAACAATTTCATAGAGGTATTCTTTAGAATTTCTACAAGTTTTCTAGAAAATATTCCACATAGATACCGGGAGTCCCAGAATTGATTGAACATTTGGGTTTCATATCCGTGCCGCTCTTACCTATGCCTTTGCTACCTTAGCCTAACGCGCGTGGCCTACAAGACTAGGCCTTTTAGGTCATAGGCTGGGCGGAAAACCTAGGTCAAGTCTGGGACACCCTGCATAATTTTTAGGAATCCCCTTTATAGATGGAAGAGCTCTGTAAAATCGGTATAGCTTTTAGAGAATTATTTCACTGTATGTGGAGCAACGATTCCCAACCTTCTCGGAAGAGCGACCCAAATTTAGTTCTACAAGACTCCGCAACCGATGAGGAAGGTTGTCGGCCAATAAAAATAATGTTGGTGGGAAAAACGCCATGCATGATGAAACACAAACCTTTGTTTCTTGCGTCCTTGGGCGACCCAAATCTAACCCCCTGAAGAGTGGGTGGGGTTTGGGAAACGCTGGCGCATAGGAACTGATTTAATTGTCCCTATACATTGGTATTTAAAAATAATAACTTTTAGAAATTCTAAATGCCTCACTGGAATTTCTATGGATGCATTCTATCGAACACTTTTTCACCTGGAAAAACGGCTCAGTTAAAATTAAAGAAGGTCGCGGCTAAAGACAACTGTTCGTCGTTGCCGTATCAAATGAAATTATTTCCGCTTGCAAAACAAAATGAAATCATTTTTTTATTTCTCTCCATTTCTCATCCGCAGTTTTTTTCATATCTTTTTTCACATATTGAGTCTCAATTGGTTCATAACGAGGAACTTATGCATTGTCACATTTTCGCACCGTGCATTCGGATAGACCAGTCTAAATCCATTTATAACTCCATCTGGACTCGAGGAGAAAATAATCTCTCGTTTGTAGGATGGGGGAGATTATTAGTTTGGAAACTGCAGAGGGCAAGCACCTTGCTTTATGGAAAGGTGGTGAAGGCGTGGGAGTTCCCCCACGGAAAGGAATCACCGGGACGACAGCTCACGATCTTCATGCTGACCGAGAAGACAGTGCATCATCTCTCACAGGTTTTCACAATCCCAAATGGGGAGGTCTGGTCATTGGTAGAAAAACTTGGCAAACCTCGATTTAATCATAGTTGATATGCCTGTTTCTACGGAATTCGGAGTTGGAAACTACCCGACGACAATGGATTTCATCGATACGTAAGAAAGATCCTGTCAATTTGATGGCACCTCTAACTATCGCAATTCATAAACCCTTGTTGGGAATATATTTAAATTTAATAAAAATCAGCCATTGTGCGGCTTCCTTTCGCCGAGTGCAGGGAACACATAATTCTAAGCGTTCCCCAGTACCCATAACTTCAGAAGACACACAGCACCCGCGCATTGAAATCGTACTCTCGTATTGCTTGCAAGTGTATACGATAGGCGAGCAGGCAGGAAGGCAGGCAGTAGAGCACTGCTCGGGACATAAATTTCCATCACGTCCCGTCCCATCCCACCTTCCTAATTTTTGAACGATCGAATTCGATGAAAGTTCTGAGCTAAAATCGAGTAACGTAAAAATTTTATCTATCTCGGAAATTAATAAGTCAATGGGGAAAAAAGCACGAGAGCTTCAATAATTGCTGGCTTGAGGCTATTTTGACGTTTCCCAAAAGTCCTACCGGCAGTGCTGAATGCACGCTCAGATAATGCGATAATGGCAGGTAAGACAAGGTATTCCTCGCAGTGTAGGCCGGGTTTGGAACCGTTTCCTGGTGTTCCGCCCATCACACTCGGAGGCCTCGGGAATGCCTCATCCATGTTTGCTTGTCATTAGCAATTTATGAACATCAGGCCACAAAACTCAGGATCTGAAGCCAAGTACAAGTTAAAAAAAAATCGGGAAATGAAAAAAGGACTTACCTTTCACCTGTACTTCACAGCAGATTATGAAAGTTTCGAATAAGTAGACCCTAATTAACACCCCACGACGTAGATGACTTCTACCAATTAAATTGCTACACTGGGCAACCTTGAACGTACGTGTCACCGACGTTCCTCAGGGTGGTCCATGCACTCACTGGCACTGAATTCGGGACGAGACGGAAAGTCTGAGTCAATTTTTTTCCGTTTCGAGATGGCATCGATATGGTTCCAAGCCTGATTCCATCTTGCCGCGGGGTATTGGAGTTCGACAAGAGACTCAGGACTCACTGAGATCGCATGAAGAGATTTGTAAATTGTTGGGGCTGCCCTCGAACAGCGATATTTCAGGAATTCATTCACGCCTAGTTTCCACTATGTAAGACCAGCAACGTACGCAGGATAATCGGAAGCGTGGGGCTCTCCACTTGGTCTTCATTTCTTAATGCTAAATACAAATAGAAGTCATTCATTTATTTTAAATCGTCTGACTCGTTCCGTCCCGTCCCGTGACCTTGTACACCCAAATGAGTCCCATCCCGTGACTAAAGTCCTGCCGTGCGACATCTACTCCTCGGGAAGTGCTCTATCAGGCAATGATACACTTCCTATAGCATCACACATGAAACGACATCGTTGGCGTTCTCAAGCTTTTCCACCACCCTTCTCGTACATGATTGACACAAACTCCCGAAGGAGATGAGGTTCAAAAAGACACGACAGTTAATGGCTCCCTTGAAAACCACCCCTAAAAATGTGGCCCCACTGGTATCACCATAAAATAATTTTCTCGATCTGATGTGCTTTGTGGCTTGTCAAGTTTTCCACCACATCCATAAGGCTTGCATGTGATTCGAACCAGAAGATGAAAAAAATATGAGAGAGCATCGTATACCTGCAGGTAGAGATGTGGAATAGGACGGGAGCCTGGATCGTCCTGACGGATGCGTCACTTCTTGCGGAGGACCAGCCAGGCGAATGCTACGGGGGACTGCATAAGATCTCGGTCCGGATGACCGAAGCACTCGGAGCTCACGCAAACAGTGACGTTTTTATCCTCGAGCGAGACAGGAAGACATGTTCGTTATGGGAGCTGTATCACGTCGTCGATTCCGAATGCGTTACCAGAAGAAAGCTCGCAACGTGCTTGAATGCCTCCTGGGTCTTCGACGACACACGAGGGAAGCTTCGAAGAAGAGGGAATCTCTACGGAAGGCATCTACGAGCTCTTCGAGCTCTTGGAGTACGTTGTTGAGCTTCAGAGTGTGTCCAAGAGTGCAGATCAACTGTACCTTTTAAGAGATTTGAGTATGAGGGACGATTAATAAGCTTCAGACCTTCAGAAAGAATACCAGAAAGAGATGGAATTCGTACTCTATATCCACATGAGATTAATTCGAGTGCGTCCTTCCTGAAACTCTGTTTCTGCTTGAAACTTTTTGGCAGCCTCTCGTAAAATTAACTCATAAAGCTATACAAAAAATCAATAATTTTGCCAGGCAAACTGTAAATACTAGAAGCATACCGGTATCTAGAGACTTCTACTTGTGAGAAAAGGAAGCCAATCCTGTGAAGTGGAGACTCTGAGAAGTTCTACTTGCTTTCATGCATTCGCTCCATGTTCCGCACACAGACTCGCGTGCACCAGGTTTCGTCCGTTCAGTTTTTTCGGAGTACACAGTTGGGAATTTGTTTCCTGATCTATCTTCCGGAGACATAGCTCACTCACGAGTTTGAGTGCTGTGACCATATTATGAGAACTTAGTGTTGCTATATTATGATGATATCATGAAATCGATGTTGCATCCCGACGGCAGGATTGGAAACGCGTGGTGAATGTGGAGTGCGTGAGGTACGAGTAAGATTCGCTATGGAAGGATGGCACGGCCTGCCTTTTCCATCGCACAAGTCATTTACACATTCGCGGCTTAAGTGGATATTCCGGTCTTTGCAAGTGAATACGTGGTATGATGCCCTAGTCTTCTTTGTTTAGAGCATGCTTCCACGCGAGTCTTCCTCTGTTTCATGCGAATGGGAATTCTCCGTGTTATTCCACTTACGGTTATGGGATCTCCTGAATCTGCATTCGTTTGCATCATGCAACATCTACTGGACAGCGGTTGCCACACGTTTAAAGTAATCCGGAACAGTCGATTTCTTGGACCAAGAGTCGCTTGAATTATGAATTTTTCTCGGGAATACAGTACTTCCGAGAAAGAAAGTATGGAGAATGAATTTTTCTGTGATGAGTTTTGACTAGAATATGATGTTCTTCTGAACTCACAGCATGGAACTCAACTGTCGTGATCCCTATTCGTTTCTATGAAGGCGATGAATTCCCCAGAAGAGAATAACTTCCTCGATGCCCTTGGACAAATTCTTGAGAAGAACTTAAATGTGTCGCTTGATATCGAAACTATGGAAGAGAAAGGACCGAGGTCCTTCGATACGGTCGTGAAAGATGTCCACAGGGGAGTAGCTGACTTGGGTATCGGGCTTTTCGAAATAACATTGGCCAGGCAGCTTCTGGTCGACTTTCTCGTGTCCGTCAATAGGGTCTCGTGAGTCTCCGCTTCCAACTTGCAATGCTCGTGCCTTCCTCTTTTTATGCAATACCACTTTGTTTTCCAGGAAAAATTTTTACATAAGAAGACCACATCTGACCGATTCGATTCTGCCATTCTATCTGATGCCATTTCGCTTCGAGCTCTGGATCGCCTTGATCGGCATGTTGGTCTCATCCGGAGTCGTTATTTCTCTGACGATGAGAAAACGGAAGGAGTCCCGGACCTCGGCGGTATGGACCATCGTCTGTGCCTCGACCCAGAGAGGTATGAAAAACTCCTCCACGTATCTTGTCCCCCTCGCATTCGCTTGGCTATTGCAACTGAATCTTCGAAGGGTCGGAGGAGGATGACTTCCCACGGATCTCCACGAAGATGGCCATATTCTTCGTATATTTCTTGACCTTAGTCTGCTACGCGAGCTACTCGGGTCTCCTGATGGCATACTTCTCGGCCGACCTATATCAGCTCCCTTTCCAGGATTTGAATCAATTGTTTGCACTAAAGGAACGCGGCTGGAAATGGGGCATTCCCCATGGGGGTTCCACAGAGGAGATTTTGAAAGTAAGTTAGAGAATTCCTCCAAACGAGTCTGATACAATCGAAGGGTTTCGAGACAGAAGGGGCGAATCAACAGGAAATAGGCAGTTAACGAGGTATAAACTTGTGAAGGACTGTTGACAAATGAGACGCGTTGTTTATATTCAAGAATAAGTAAAGGCTTTGTCCAAGGGTTGCGTCTCCCAGTAGAAGCAAAGAGCTTTGTGTATCCTGGAAGAGTCACCACCCCAAGTGTGCCGATGGTCTGTACTCGACCATCTCAGAATTCTATGACATTTGGCAGAACGAATGAGAATCATATTGAGAATTGCTAGCAGTCAACACATTACATTTTCACATCAAAAGGGAGTCAAGAGAGGGGGTTTTGAAATTTGGCACCAAGGTAAAAAAAAAAGCTCAAAAGCTTTGTGTCCAAGAGATTTGGTTCATGGTTAAAATTAAAGCTGAAGGGGGAATCAAAGCTTCAGTCCCACGATTCCACCAGTGGGAATCGTGACACCTGTCTAATCGAGATGAAAAGAGTTCATGCATATAGCAACGAATATAGGAAATCACTTTGGGGTGTTTTAATTCGCACATCCCAGCAAACAATTTGAAACACGTAACGTTGAATCGACGTTCGTAACGTTATACCAACGTTGGTCCAACGTAGCCTTGTTTGCTGGGATCATTCTTCCTTCGCTTTCGAATTAGGATATCGGTCATGAAGATGACCGATTTTTCGATTAATCTTTTCACCATGTGGGAATCACGACAGAGCTAGTTAATCTTTGCAACAACCGATTTTTATTTTTAAGGTTTTTCCAATGATTTAAAATGGAGAAAGCATTTTTGTTGATTATATGATTTAGGGAAGATTTTACGGATGGTTTCTTCTGAAGTGAGGCAATTACCGAACGTCAGAACTCAATTAGATTTAGCTCGCAGAATTAATATAATAAGAATATCATGCAGTCGAAATCGCAGTCATCAAAAAATCAAGTGGAAACCAAGATTAAAATGTTGTCTTTGGGCAAAAAAAAACAAGAAGAGAAATTCCAAAATCCAAATATGCGAGACAATTTGACAACTATATGGTGTGAAAATACGTAGTATGTTTTGGAAGAGTTAAACATTTTCGCTTTTAAATAGAAAGATTTTCAAGCTTAGTAAAAAAGCAAACAAAAGTTATTATTTTCCAGCAATTTTTCGCCATTCCAAATATTCCAAATATTCAATAGCTATCGCATTTTTATTCGCAAGTTTTGATTCCTTCTCCCCCCCTCTCCCTCCAAACTTTAACTTGAGTCATCAAGGATTTCTTCATTAATCTCCTTACATCTCTAAGGGGACTTATAACCTGAAATGTTGCAAGTTCCAGCAGGGGTTCACTCGCCCAGTGGAACGCGAATTCGCCAATGAAGCATCCCTGAACTTGCAAACTTACCTGAGTAGGAAGACAATACCAAATGCCTTCGAGGCGTTATTGATGAACGAAGTCGCTGCACGTGCTTGGCTTCGGGTAGTTGAGTTCCCCGATCAGGTCGTCAAAATACCACGTCCAGTCTCTATCTCCTATGAGGGGTTCTTCATCAGAAAGGAATTGCATCTGGCTCAAATCTTCAACTATCAGTGAGTTCATGCTACAGAATCAGGGGATCCTTACTTACAACTTTTTTTCTTCTAACAATTATCTAATGGAGAACTACTTTCCAACTGCAGTTCATTAAAGTGAGATACTGCCAAATAATTCGAAGGGGAAAGGAAGAAAACTCTTCCACCGGACACAGTGACGAGGCCGTAGGAAATGGCAGAATGCTCAAATCGTGATAACGTTGGTGTGAAAATCCTTTTTGGAAGGAATTTTCCCCCATTCCTCACCCTCCCCTTCTCCCTAACTCCATTTGCTTGCAACTACTTCGTTTCCCCATACATGAAGATCCCGACAATAGCACCTAAAGCAATTTAGAACTTTCATTTAATTTTCATATATATGAAGTCTAGGATTGGTCTTTTCGGTTGCTGATGGGATTGGTTACTTTTGGGATTTTCTGGCGTCCGTTTCTCCTAGGAAATGATGCATTACTATGGTAATGGCCTGTGCTGGGCATTTACGTCGCAGGAAGTTCGTCTGACTGCGAATTAAGTTCGTAATCTTTTTTCCAAGCCTCTTAGGTATATTGGAGGTTTGTTTCACCTTTCCTTCACTGGTGGAGAAGGAGCATAGCCTTAGTTTCACCGACTCACATTCAGAATCTCGTGCTCCAACAATATTGCATTTAATCTCACTGGAGCATACTCGCGTTTTTGGCTAACCACGTCGTTCGATAGTGCACAGGAATCCATGTTGCATAAAGTCCTTGTCCATACCCGAACTCTCCTCTCAACCCTTTCGTAGAATTGGATCATAATTACTGTATGATAGATCTACAGGTATGCAAAAAAAGGGGCCTTGAATTAATCGTATGTAACGCGAATCATCGGATTGAGATCGGAGTTGATGGCTGCTCCTAGACAAGAATGTGCGCAGTACGATTGGATTTCGTCATGCTTTTCTAAGACCAACCGACGAATACCAACAAAGCACCAATGAAAGTATTAAACGGCAATTAACAGAGGACAGAACATATTCGAGCTCGATTCGAGTCCCGCTTCGAGCTCTGTTGGCCTTGGGGTTTTGCTCAACAAGTCATGAGCCGAGAGCTTGGGTGTTTGAAGGTGTAGCAATAATGGTAGGAAGGGGATTTTATAGAAGAGTTTGTTATTCAGAAAGCACGTAACTTTTTACTTTTTGGTCGTGACTTTTGAAGGAAATGTTGGGAGCAGCTGATATGTGACAACTAAGTTGATGTGTCCCTACAATGTTTTTTTTTTCCTTCACTCACTTGATATTTGGTGTGTGCGGATATAGGGTGCTTTTGTCGCATATGCATTGAAAAATAATATAAATGATCTTATGATAGATAGGGCAGCAAGTGTTGAGAGTGATGACCTTCCTTTCCCGCTATTCCAAGTAGCCTGTGTACGACGTAGGTGAATGCTGCACGGATTACAGCCATTGGGATGGTCGCAAATAAGTCATTAAACATCATTCATGGTATGGTAATTGCAAGTAATCGCCGCTACCGAGTTTCCGATATAGCTAATTGCACAAATAATGCGGAACGTTATTGCACTGTGAGCTTAGTCATGTTACCTTCAGTGTTGTAAATGCCAGAAGTAATTCTCTATTTACCTGTATACCCCATTTTCAATGTTTACCTTTTCATTCTCTTTCATTTCATTCCTTCTGTCCGCAGTCGCCATTTCAAATTCTGGCGTGAGTAATTGTATGGACCTTATGAATCTTAAGAACTACCCCTGTAATGAAATTTCACTTTTGGCAGAACCTAATTGCGAAATGTTGTTCGTGTCAGTTGTTTAAATCTGTGCTTGGTCTGGTACTCCTGTTTTTCGGTCGGATAACTGAACGTTAGGGAGACTGACTCTCGGAAAATCGACGTTTCTTCAAAATGAAGAAATGTTATACTTTTCTGACATTTTATCACATGCCCTCCGTACTGTAAATAGGATTCTGTTGCTGCACGAGACGGGATTCATCACGCGAGCCAGGAAGGAGCTCTTGATTACACTGAAAGGGCAGAGGACTGACATGGACTCGACTGCAGGAGGCATTGGGTTCCATCATATCCTTGCTGCTCTCCTGTTCCTCCTCGTTGGGGTCCTTCTCAGCATCCTTGCTTTAGTCATCGAGGTCCTTTCCATCCGCTGTCGATGCGGCTCAGATTCGAAAGTCACGGAACCCTGCACCCTAAGATAATTGTGCGGCAATTCCACTCAAATTTTGCAGTTACTTCGTTCCTGAGTTTTTATCATGACTATAGGGTTCCTTCAAATGTAGGTGATTAGATGTAATCATTAACCCAGGACATCAAGAAAACAAATTCCTTATTATTGTGCGATGCAATTGTGATCCACAAGTTAACAAACCTTATAGAGTGACAGATGACACAGGAATAGGCTCCTTAGAAGTTTCCGCCGGAGTTCTATTCTGAGTCATGTGTCGATATCCGACCGGTAGATTTAATCGTTTTGCATCTTGTGGAATTTTACATCGCATGAATCTGTATTTTCAGTGCTTGCTCAGCCAGTATCAGTGAGTGGTGTGCCCAGATATGTCTCACTTATTGATTTTAATTCAGGATTTCACCACTGAGCATACTTTTCAGCACAGACTCCAACATTCTTATCCGCTAATCATTGGTATATGGCTGCAGATGCGTATGATTCTGATCCCTTGTAGGGTCCTGTGCTGGTAATGAAAAATCCATATTTACTCCCGGTACTGCCTTTTTCTTGATGAGTGCTTGTGACCACTGATTAGCGGTTATTTCTTATTACTTCTCGCTCGATACTAAAGGACCTGATATCTTGAAATATCCAGAGGTTTTGTGTACGCGAAACATTTGGACCAATCAGTTAAATCGGCTTTTTCATCAAATCTGGTACCCAAACCTAGAGCCCAAACATGGATTGATGCTTGGATATCAATCGTTCCCAGGTGAAAATTCAAAATGAAGAAATTTTATACTTGCTGGATTTCGGGAATTTCAGAAAAATTATTTGTCGCAAGGGCGCAGATTTGAATGTGTTACAAGCCATCCTTGCTGTCACAGGTGTAAGCATCACATCCATTGATATCAGTGTGTCTTTAAGGTAAGTGTCGTGGATGAAATCAAATGAACCTTCTGAAATCGATGCGCATGGTCGATTTGAATTGAATGGTGCACTTTTCCTCAAAATACGATTGTATTATAAAATAATCTATGAGTAATTGAATGTTGTACGAAGATAAATCCATATATGGAACTAGAGGTCTCAATGGAGGAGTTTTCACTTCCTGTTCACCTTGTACCTCCGGATTGGGAGAGGGTACGGATCCTTGTGGCCATATGGGTGCTTCACATGGTGGTACTTGGAATACTTGGAGTCGTATACCGGATACTCGTTGTGCTCGTATTTCGGGTATCCTGTCTCGTATTTTGGGTAGTCAGTCTCGTAGGAAGGGTACCCCGGTTCGTACTTGGGATACTCAGGTTCATATTTGGGGTACTCCGGTTCGTATTTGGGATACTCCGGTTCATATTTGGGATACTCCGGTTCGTACTTGGGGTACTCTGGTTCCACGTACTTTGGGTATTTGGGGGCGGGGTAAGGATGCTTCTTGTGGAAGTCCTGCGTCTGAGTCACCTTAGTGTACGATCCGTCTCCGGTCTCCACGAGCTGTAATAAAAAATTACAAGTTTAACCATAATATATAATTGATGTTACTGTGTGAATTGAATCGAAACGCTGTTTTTGCGATTAAATTTTATGGATCGTTCGGTATTGAATTCCGACTTCATGATGAAATATGAACTAATAATATTTATAAGGCCACATTTATGTTGACTCCCTGGTTTATCGAGAGATGGCAGCTCTGTCAGAATGAACGAGTTCAACGCCTCGATGAATGAAAGTGAAGATGGAAGGGACTTTGGAAGCAATCATGTCAACAGGATCTCCCTACTGACAACGTCCGCTCAATCTGAATGGTGACCCGGATAAGGATGCAATTATGTCAACGCGTCGTCATTTCATGAGCTGACCTTCGAGAATATGTGAATCATTCTCTGATCCAAAGGCGCATTTAAGAACAGGAATTTGCCGATTACGCTTCTCCACATTCAAGATTGGTGAGGCTCAACATAGTCCATTCGTGAGGAGTGTCAAAGGTGCGAAGGTGCGATACACGAAGCACGAAAACTAGATCAAGGTTGGTCATCTTTTTCTTGCCCGATCATACCCAGAGTGACGCAGAAAAGCGTCCTGTTTGACGTTTCAGATTAGCATGTACTGTAAAAATTGACAAGTTTTCAGTCACAGAGAAACTACTTAAGTTTCTTCTCTGAAAGACTTAGGTCTCTGAATTTTTTTTTCACTAAAAAGAAACAGACGTTCAAGCTTCAGTGAGAAAAACTCAACTTTTCTCCATATTAACAGTTCAGCAGTTTCAAGAGCGCTCAGCAGACGTCTCATTTGTCGGCACAAAGTCTGCTTTCTTACAGTTGCACTCCTATTGCTGTCTTTGACTTTACAATGTCATGTCCCAGTTGACAGGAAAATTTCGCTGCGATAAATGTATTTTTTTTTAATATTTTAAGAAGGCCTGGAGAAGGAAGATTCCAAGACAGAACACAGTCCACGATTTTATTGAATTTGACTTGGAGTTCTTTCCTTCTTTCATTCCGTTATAAATACCTTTATTTATAAGTACCACGTGGCCGTGGCTTGAAGACACTGCACAGTCGAGAACACTATACTAAGAACGCAGCCATAAAAGAACAGGCTTTATGGCACTAAATGCGAGAAATCTTTTGAGCAGTGTTGAAATCGCTCCAGCTTGATAAGGAGGAAAGCTTAAATGTAATACTAAAGTTTGAATAACCATTGCTTTTCATCCAAAAGACTCTTTGGACTTTCAGGAAACAAATTTTTTAATGCTTCCTCTGCGATGCAAAGAAATAAAGAACCTAGCGGTTCAAAAGTCGGTTTCATAAAGCGTCAAACAGGTTGCCCTTTTGCGCCAGCCAGTATTTAGTGGAATCTCATGTCACCATGAGATTCGGAAAATTACATATTTTTGAAAAGGTATTTTATACAATGTATATATAATTTTATACAATACAAATATATGTATAAACTTTTTTTTTCAAGAGAAATGTAGCTTCCAAATACGAGGGTCACCCCAAAAGTAATGCTCCCGATTTTTTTAATGGCAAATTATTTATCACAATTGAACGCAAGTACACAGTAATAGTTAGCAATGACACGTGTTAAAATTTCTGTTGACTTATTTTCCCAAATAGTTCCCATTACGTTCCACACATTTGTGCCAGCGTGAAAGCAGTGCCATTATACCGTCGCGAAAGAAAGCTTCATCTTGTTGTTCCAGCCAGCGACGAACCGTCATCTTCACATCATCATCTGATTGAAAATGGTGCCCCGTAGAGGGCCGAACAAATGAAAGTCAGAGGGGGCGAGGTCTGGACTGTATGCAGGATGAGGAAGAACACCCCATCCCATCTTTGCAATGGCTTCCGATCTTAGACGACTTGTGTGTCCAACATCGTCTTGTTGCAGTAACACTTCCTGCGTGTTCATATGAGGTCTTGCTTAGCGTATACGGGGCTTCAGCTTCTTTGGAGTGCTGATGTATCGTTCCGAGTCGATCGTTGACCCTTTAGCCAGAAATTCAACCAACACCACTCCACGAATGTCCCAAAAAACGGTGACAATAACTTTGCCCGCCGATGCCTGGGTCTTGATTTTTTTTTCGGGCGTGGGGATATGTCATGTCTCCACTCCAACTTCGCTCAGTAGCGATGGAAAACAATAGAGTCAATGCTGGCGAACCGTCAATTTCAATTGCAATTAAGCATTACTCAGAAAAAAATCGGGAGCATTACTTTTAGGGTGACCCTCGTATATTCCTGAAGTTCTGCTTTTCTCCTGCAGCTAATTCTTTTATGGGACAGGCACAGGAGTCTCACGATCGTAGATTACTTTTCATTCTGAGGCAAGAGAAATTGCTCGAAATGGGACCGTGAGCAATTGAGAAAGGTCAGTGCTGGCGGTGATGACAGTGTTCCCCTTGATGTGAGGGATTTTGCAATGGGGCTGGGTGACAAGTCTGTCAAGGAGCCCTTTCGCACGACTCCTGTCAAAGCATTCCCATCTCCACCCACCGATCTCGTCCGGATATGGGGGAACCAGCACGAGAAGTTGTGGAATCTTAGCCAAATTAAATTCAATTTTCTGGAGGGTGTTGACATCTTCCGTGGGACATATTTCACTTTTACTACTAATTATCTTTTGGTGCATTGCGTCATATCAGTCACATTCGAGAAAGCTTCAACGGTTGATCTAAAATGCCGAATTCCCAGTTCCCAAACATTCCAATAATTACAGAAACACTAGTAGCTGAAATTTCCAGGATTTCTTCTAAAGCTATTCCATCATGGTTTTTTCAGTAAAGAGGAGAGCTTTTTCTTCTACTGTTAGGTTAAGATGAAAGGCGTAGATCCCGTGAATTAACAGTACCTCATATGAAAAGCCGTCCTGCGTACGATGGAGTTCCACCTGGGCCTTTCCGTGCTTCTTTGGAGGGTAGGGAGGGTGAGCAGGAGGTGCATGGATCTCGTGAGGGTAGATCAGGGGTTCCTTGTGATACCCGTAATCGTGCACGGCCGGATATGGATCCGGATGAGGATAAGGTGCGGGGTTCAAGTGGTACTGTCGGTGGTATCCAGCACCTACCTCGTGGGTCGCATAGGCTGGGGGCAGAGAACCCAAGGTGGCTCTTGTGGCACCCAGCAGGGCCAGGATGGGCACCTGGCAAACAGCATCAACTCATACTTCTGTATTACCGTAGAAAAAAAAGATCATTTCAAGCAGAGTAGGTTATGCAAATAGTCGCTCAAATCAAAACTTACTTGGAACTGCATATTAATTTTTAGTTCTCAGAACTTCATTTGTATAATTTAAAAATATATATATTATTTATAATGGTAGCTTGTTCCCAGCCTGGTTTCATCAGGTACATCATGACTCAACATCTTTTGACAGACCCTCAACATAACTGTCACGGTTCATAGAAACAATCCTGAAAGGGTCAGTCGGTGTCCTCTTCTCGATGAAACGAGTACATGCTGGCGCGATGTTCATCGCCTCATAACAAAAGAAGAGTCCAAGACGAAAATCGAGAAGCTTCCTGATTTCATCACCAATCCGTTGATGGATGGAATCCATCTTCCCATGCTTCGCATTCCTGCAATCGGTTACATGATCCACGGCCCCCCGCATTCAGTCTCATCATCGCACCACCCAGCGAATACAATTTTCTTATCACCGCAAAAAAATGCGTCAAAGTCTAGGACGAATTCCTCACATACGAATGGTTCATATTAACAATCCTGAAAATGAGGAACTACGCTTCACGCATGGAGGAATTCAGAGAATGACTGCGTTAATGAGAGGCTGAAACCGGCGAAAGGACCTTATGTATCACAATCTTGTCTGTGTAGGAGAACCGAGTACAATAGGCCAATGTGCATGCATATAAGAGGTCTATGAAGTGTAACGTAATTGCAATTATATAATAACTTGATTAAATGAAGTCCATGGAGTCTAAAAGTATTACTTCCTTTTCCTTGGTAGGGAAGACCCGACAGAAGGGAAATGTTGCGTACGACAATGACATTTAAAAATTTCGCTTTCTTGTCGCCTTCATTTTTATTTCCCAAGATTAACCTGTTCCTTAGATGAAAAATAAAAACTACGATAAAAGTCGTGCATTATATGGTCAATCGATTGGCTTATCATTCTAGGCAGAAGTAGGCCTTTGGCGATATGCTGTAGTCAGCAAAACCATTTAAACAATAAAAAGTTTATTTTCCATGTTCTCTGAACCCTGCTTATCTTTAAATCACGGACAAAATAATTAGCATGAAGTTTCAATTCGTAAAATTCCCGAGAAAATTTCTATCAACAGTTTTAATTGATTATCAATAGCTAAAACTTAAAAACTGGTGATGGAGAAGGTCGTTCTTACCAGAAAATGATCCATGACTTTTTCGCTTGAGGAAAGGTAAGTATTGCTCTGGAGGCGGAGGAGGAGGAGGAGGAGAGCACAGCACGGCGAGAAGCCCAGCGGGAACTGTTGACCAGCCTCGGGGCCTCCGCCCCATTTTATATCCCAGCCGCTTTGACCCGTGCCGCGGAATCTCCCATATCTCCACTCTCCGTTGCTCCCTCCCACGAATTGCACCGATCGTGATAACCGCAGAAAAGGTGCATCAACACCAAGAACATACTGACATCGTATAGGGTCAAAGGTCGACTTTCCTTCGCCTCCAAGGAGAGACTGGGATAGACCTTATGTATCCGATTCGTCGCGGGGAAATTTAGTCTCTTCGAAGCATAGCGTAGTAAATGTCTTTGTGGGCCATTATGCACTGCATGTTATGTCAATCGCCATGACCTGCGGTGTTCACCTGTTCTAAATCATAGACTCCTACGAAATTTCTCGTGAGAAACCCCTGTCAAACTTTTAAGCCTCTTGGAAAACTTGCGATCATTTTCTCCTAACTAGTTCATATTAAATTGGTTTCGGCTTCAAAGAAGAGCGTTCACATGACGATACTCGTCTTCTGAAACAGACCCACGATGCGAGTGGACAAGCATTATCGATCGAATGATATTGGAACTTAACAAAGCATTTATATTTAGGAAAACGATAAAAAAAATATTTAGAAAAACCTTTTTTTTTCAATGAAAGCATGTGACAGCTTGCAGACGAGAATGGAATTCAGTTTCCTCAAATCCAGAAGATAAATCAGATCTGCCTACTGTCTGTGCAATACGTACAGGGTGTAATAGATGTAATCGGACCGAGTTGATTGACCGTATGTCAAATTTCCATGGTAACTAAATGAACAAAGGTGAATGCATATGTGCAACGAAATTCTTTCATAGAAAGAGAGCGAAAAGGAGATAAGCCAGCATCTTGAACTCAGTGTGTTCCAAAACAGGGATGAAAGGAATTTTGTCAATCATCGCTTTTAAGACACTCGATTCGCAGATCCATACTATCGTGCCGGCGATACTCGGCTTTGCCGTCCAAGTGAATAGAGGTCAAAGAGCAGGAAGGATCCATGTCGAAACTCATCCTCGTCTCCTTTGATATCACTACAGTGCATGACCACCTCGGTCACGAACATCATGAGCGATCATTACGCCTTTCATCCTCTGTCCCTTTCCATCGTCCCACAAGAATGGGTGGTCTCGGTCCCGTAGAAACTCATGTTTCCATTCTTTTCCGAGGTCTATTCATGCGATTGAATCTAACTTCATTTGATATTCTAGAATCCTTCCTGTGACTTTCCTCGGAGAAATACTCTTAATCGAGCGGAGAAAGTATCCGAATGTCGTCATTACCTAAACGCTTTCAAACCCTTGTATATTATGATGTCGTGACGTATAGCAAGCGCCAATTTGGTTTCCGATTCAGCACACGCTCGTTTGACCCGTAGTTCCCCTGCGATACCATCCGCAATAGGAACATGAATATTCGTATTCTTATCAGAGAAGCAATTTTATCCCTTGGCTAATGCAAGACGTTCACTATATAGGGAATTCGAACAAAAATTGCCACAAAGATGTAGTTGAAGAATGAACGGTTTTCACCGAGGTTGTGCAAGAAGTTGGATACACGGGCGAGGTAAATTCGCTTTTGAGTGTAAAACTGGTGGGAAATGAGCAATATATTGTGGTTTTTACATTGGGTCAATAGAAAGTGAGTAAGTGGCAGTAGGGAGGAAGAGGTCATGCACGCCATAAATTGTGGTTCTCTAGTCCGGCTTGCGGAAATGGCAATTTCTAGAGATGCTTCAACCTGTGGCTAAATAAAATTAAGGTACGACCGTAGAAAGGCCGTCACGATTTTGTATCTGCCGCTAGTCCTATTCGAATAGAATTTCTGAATATGGGACAAAGGCGTAAGAAAACGTCGATTGCATCGTGCCGATCGTTCAGCTGAACCCCTGAGCGCTATATAGGCCTGCACGCACAAAATTGTGACCTCGCCGAGTGCCCCTTTTGGGTTGGGCTGGGGAGTTGCGAAACTCACGGTATCCCTCTTTCTCCTCCGTGATGAACCCCTTCACGATCGCCGAACAGATCGATATCTGAAGAAAACGAGGATCTTCCCGTCCCTGTCTCTCAGACCTATCATTCATATCTGGGCTTGCAGGTTTCCTAATCCAGTGCTGAGTAAACGTCACATGCTAAAGGTATATTGAATTATTTTAGCGATCAGGCTTCCAAAAGAAAATAGTAAAAACACTCCTCATTGGCTCAACGGCCCAACCGTTGGTAATTCTCAATAAGTAAAAGGATTTTGGAGATGATAGCAACTCGCTTCATTGGAACGTCGCACATACTCGAATTTGATTTTTCTTTGAGATGATGTGTCCTGCTTCAAAGATTATGTGCTCAGCTGATTCACGCATGCATTGCTTGCGTACATGGTCCATGATTTCCAGGGCACTTGATTGTGCACTAGCAAACGAATCGACAGGCTCGAAATTCGTTATTATACCCATGCAGAAGTCTTGAAGCAGGGGAAAGTGTTGCAGTAGATGCTGTTGCAACCCATGATATTCGTCCTTCCACGTCTGACGCGGCAAAAAAATCTTTCTATTTACACCCAAGTATGCATTCCATTCTTTCGTCCTTGGAAGGCATGTCATCGACTGAGCGTGTATCCTGCAATGCTGATCGCATGTTTGGAGTTTCGTCCTTCCGATACCGACCGGCTTCTTGTCGCACTGACACGTGCCGCAAAGTCTCGAAATATATACTTTAAAAAAGTGATAGCGACCTGTTAATGAACCCTCCCACACGAGAGCTTGGAGTGACAGCAGAGAAGAATTCTGCGTGGGAGTCAGGCAAACATGAGAGAAGATACGTGAGGACCTCAAGGTCTTCGCTATGTCGAGCAAAAATGCGATGCATGCAACGATCCATGCTTACGCTCTCATTAATCACTCAATCGATACGTACTGCAGAATCGTACTGCAATCGATCACGGGACATTTCCCTCTTGTTACAACGATTGGAGTCCTGTGAAGGTAGTGAGGAGTCGCTCTTCGAGCCTCCTTTCCACGGTTCCTCTCTCGATCCTCAGTCTTCCTGGATCCGCAGGTCGGATTAAATCGAATAGCAATGAGGCATAGTTTTTCATTGGTTCCCTGAACTGCAGGAGGGTGCTATGAAATGGACACCTTCAAAACTGAGTAAAGACCTCATTTTTCAACTCTGTCAGTAATTAATATGCAAGACGTGTTCTTCTCCTTTGCCATTTGTCGCATAGACTACTTTCCGACTCGGAAAAACAAAGGATCTTGGTCACAGAGGGGAATGGATGTCGTTCCGAAACCGGATGCATGCTTGCAGCAAAAAGCATTTTGCAGTTCTTGTATCGAGGGGAACTGGGTCGCGATGACAATTTCGACAGCTCGGAACAGGTCAGCGAATGGTAAATTCGAACTGAACATCGTGACGATACGCGTGGGCGGAAGGAACCACTAATGAAGCGACACGGACTGAGATCGAGTTGCAACAAGCGGAGAAGTCACGACCTAGTCTCTTTCCATTCCTCGTGACAAACACGGCTTGACCTATGCGTGAATGACAGTGCAAGCATGATGCCATCATAATTGGACTCTTAGGGGGACCCCAATCAACGACCCGAATGGGGGCGATTTGGCAACTGCCTTTCGATCAGCCGTGTCATCGCATGCATAGAAAGGGGATGGAAACGATTCTTGAATTTCTTTCTTTTCGATAGGGTGAGGCGATTGAGACGGACCTCATCGAAAGGTAATGGAGAGACGTTTTGAAATGCCTGTCAGTCGCGGTTTTCAAAATCGATGCAATCTGAAGATGAATGCCAAAACGTCGACGGAGATGGAAGCTCTGAAGAAGCAGAAAGAGGCAGAAAAGCCACCAGGAAATAGATGTCTGGAATCAATATCCGTGAATGAGTTGAGGATGAATTGTTGAAGGAAGTGAAGCCAGGTCCTCTTCGATGCCATCCATCCTGAGTGTGAATCCTTCCTGAATGTGTGTGGGATTTTCGCCCTCGTGAAAGTCATTACCACATTCTTTAGTTCTGGGATCTGGAACGTGTCTGCCATGACGAGGGCCTCTTCTGAATTCTTCCCGTCGATATCCTGCCTCAATTATCGGACTCGGAAGATTTCGGGAGGGGAACTTGGAATTTCCCTGCAGCACAGGGACTTCTCCGGGGATCTTCCTCCAGGGTTCGACATTCTCTAGCAGTGATGAAGCCGAGGAGTCCAAGGAATGCACTGATTGTCGTCGATGGCATCCCTTCCTGGTTCACATCGCATCTGCCTCGACACATCTCTTCCACAACTTTCTTTTCGTTTCGGTGTTTCGTGTCGACAGGATGCTCCAGTGGGTCGGATCTACTTGCCTTTGACGACGAAATACACGATTGAGAATTGTCCCGTTTCGAGTTCTCAGGTGGAAAGTTTAGTTCCACCTTGGGAAGGTGAGGTCGGGCAGGCAGAGTAAGATATTGTTTTCTAAATAATAATCCTGGGAGATCCATCAAGCAACAGAGTGTCTACCTCTGCATTCCGCTTCTCCAAAGAAATAGAGCCATAAATTCGTAACGCCTGGGACTCCTGAACGTTCATGGGTTTTCCAGGGTTCCAGGAATGACTGAAAATCCCCCTTGGGATTCCATAAGAAAAAGGAAAGTTCTTTCTTCCTTCTCGTGGAGGAATTGGAGTTGCAAGCTCCAGAGGAGACCCTGGGAAGGTCCCGTGACAAAATTCGGACATGCCAGCAGTTTATCCGATGCTTAATGCCGAATGTTGTGGATGTTCCGTGATTGGGAATGTAAGATTTCAAAAAAGACATGTCCTGCTGAGTCCTAATTTCCCAGAGATTCAAGTTTTTGTCTTCCTCATGCGTAGATTCGGAGGGCATGATTACAGGAAGAGTTCGCCTTGGGATCGTAGCCTGAGAACTAGCCGAAGTAAAATAATTTTTTTATCAACTGATATGTTTACTATCTGATTACTTATTACCTGATGATGCGGTTTTCGAAAAATAATGAACTGGGATCAGATAACTGGTTCAATGACGGCGAATAGGGCTGGCAAGGGCCTTGTCTCGCAACATCGTCTCATTTAGATTAGCCTATTTTCCTTGCCACTGATTTCTCCATTAGATACGAAATTGCCTTTTTTTTTTAAATCCCATAGGCTTTGGGACGGAAAGCTTGTCTTCTGGGCTTTAAGCCCATGGAACTCAGAACTCAAATTACGTTGGTGCTCTCTACGACCTGCTTGATTTATGTGGATCAAGGTTTTCTCTACTCAAAGTTGATAAAGTGTACACTCCATGTAAAGAGAGATTTGTTGGAACCCGAAGAGGTTGAACTCGACGTTGGACACATTTGAAAAGTAGAGAATCCCTGCTGTTACTCTGATCCCACAGGGACTTCATGGAGGTAGTTCATAGCTAAAGAATGGAGTTCAATTAATCTAATCTGATTCTGGTGAATGAAGGAGGAATGGTTGAATATCTGCTAAATGCTCTGACGTAGTCTGTCTTCCAGAGAACGGTCGTTCCTGAGGGTAAATGAACAATATGCATATGTGGGGTTTTGCTGCTGCTGTTTTACGTTGAGAGCTGAGCAGAAGCGTCAATATTGATATTAAAGAACTTCCTATTTATTGAATTTATTGAGAAATAGGAAGCCGAGGAAGAACCCGAGGGGGAGGGGCCACATTACAACTTTTTTTTGGAGGCTACATGTCAAAGTACTATGCTGGTACTCCATTTCTGGGGCACAATACACTGATTTTTTTTAAATATAAAATTCTAATTTAAAAAAATCAATTGTATGCACGAACTCAAACGTCGTTGTTCCGCCAGTTGCGTTCATACTCCGAATGTCCATGATTGATATTGAGTTTTACAGAGAAAACGGTTCTCAAAATTTGGAAGTGCATCATAGGATCAGCTTTTGTGACATGTAAAAGAAAAATTTACAAATTGCACATCATCGGAAAGCTATCAAATGAATTTTCCAAATGCCGCCATTGCGACTCAAAATGGCGGAGAAGCCATGGAACTGAATTCACAGAAACTGTTCACGTTGTCGTTGGGAGCAACAATAAAATTATTTCGGAATTGGTATTGAATAAATAAGTCAGCTAGTCTGACAGTTAAATTGGAGCTAACAGTGGGACAAAGGCACGTGCATACTAGCATATGAATCACATATGCGGGAAAAAGTAACTGAAAGAATATTAAAAATCACACGGTTCTACGTGCTCAAGGAAAATACTCGAAAATATTTCTTTGTTTCTAAAACTTGGAAGGAGCCAAAGAACGATATCCCCTAAAGTCCATGTTATACGCAAGAGAAGAAAGATCCTGACTCAAGGTCGAGTTCGGGACACGCCCTCGATACAGATCTCTAATAGAGATTAAAGGCACTCTTCGAAGATCATAAAGTGATCGACAGGGTCGATCCAATTATCCGTGTGGAATAGGCGAAACGCGATTGCATGGACCGAGGCGGCCCATTCATTGAAAAGGGGTTTGATGAAAGACGCGCGGCCTTCGACCTCCGGGTCATCCCTTCCCATATCTCCCTTGCGATGGAAAAGCTCCGAGTCACGATCTGCGTGTGCGGATCGGGTCTTCCCAGCGCCGCTATTACTTCTACTTCGTCTCGACGCACAGACGCATGACACGGAGGAGACGTATGTTACCCCAAAGGCCACGGGCGAGAAGATTTCTTAACCGCCTTCACGGACTCGAAAATTCATTGCATTCACGAGTGCACCGCGAAAGAATTGAGAAACCGTTGGAAAAGAGCATGTTCTCCTTTCCAAAGCCCGATTGCCTCTTCACAAAGGCAGCATTCGGGCCAAAAAACAATGTCCTCGAGCGTTATCAAATGCAATTGAGATATCTCGCAGGGATTTAATGAGCCTGCGATTTCAGGCCGAAAAGCGACTAAAGAATATGTCAAAGGTCGATATGGTTCCATTTTGAAATCCCGACGGCATTTGATCCTTAGCCCTGCATCTACCAGGGCAATCTTGCTCTGAGACGCTCTCTATTCTTGCACGGGCCAGAGACGGTTGGAAAGGTGCAATGACATCCAAACTAATTTGCGAAGTGA